GGCATGTCAGTTCGCCGGGTACTAAACGATGTGCGTCACGTCGAAACAAACATCTGCCTTCGCTGCTGGGCCCAGTTATATTGCCTAAACTGCTGCCGAGCCTATTATATATGACATAAACATGTGACTATATATGGTCACATGATGACCATATATAGGCACATCATTACTATATATGGGCATGTTTATAATAGTTTTTGTCAAATAAATTTTGATAGTCTGGACAGGGTTTAATAGTACTATAGCACGGAATAAAGCAGGAAGGTTATAGTATAATTTAATAGTCCTAGGTCTACCTACATTAAGTTCTACAATCCTACTATAAAATCCTATATAGTTTATAGGTCTATAATTTAGTGAGTTAAGAAACAGACTGCATGGGATTTAGCTAATACGGTGAATCATTTCTGCAACGTTAATCTAAAATCTCCTTTGATGATCTAGTAATCATTTCGAATTCGGGTTCTAATTCCATAGTCTTACTCAATCACATTTGAGATTTCAACAGAAGACATGTATTGCACAAACGCGACTTAAGACTGATTTAATATGGATGTTTCATAACAACCAAGTAAAAGTACACGGGAACCAAAGCGTATTTCAACGTTGTGAACATTGCGATTAAGTTCCCTAGACTTGTAGCAAGGGACATCTCTCATAAATAAATATAACGGAAACCCTTAAAAAAACATCAGCTAAAGAATACATAAAATTAAGAAAAAAAATCGTTTTTGTTGACTTTTTGACATTGCCATACTACAAAAAAAAATCGATTACTGGTATCAGTCAATGTACGAGTCTGCAAAAGAATAATACAATAGGAAATTATGTAATAATGCGTCCATTAGGTTACTGATATTTGCTGGTAAATTATTATTATTTTTTTTTTATGTTCATTTTTAATAAATTTAAAGCAAAACATTTACTATCGATACTAGTAACATATCAAAAAATTGGATTGTTTTTCAAAGGTCCGTTTTGGTGTGTGTATAAAATTTAACAACAATCAGAACTTACTATTGAATAGCTAGAAATACGTGCATGTCGCAGAGACACGCAAGTTTACGTAGGCCTACTTCACACTGTTCCCTTGGCAATAGCATCCAAGGGGTGGGGCTAAGGTCCATTATGTCAACACAGGCGTTATTTAAAAAAGATTACCGGTACCCATAATCAATATTATAATATTATGACAAATGAATTCATTTTACCGGATACTTAGTAGCAGTGTCGCACTCAAAACTACGTTATCATTAATTGTCTTGTATAATTTGTGCCCATGAGTTCATTTAGGCGTGCTATTATTACGCTGTTCACCATAGCTCTGCTAGTCTATACTACAACCTACGTGTCGGGTGAGGTAGGCCTACAGTAGGGCTTTATATGATTTGTAACGTAGTGGTATAAATTGTGTAAGTTGATATTTTGTCCACTTGTACTTCAACGTAGAGTTCTACCGCAATCATTCCTGTATTTGTATAAGTCAGTAGAGCATGGTATTGCCAATTAAATGGCCAATATAAAAATGTGTGTCGAGTACATTTTACCTACCCCCTGCGTTGATTTATACATTTTGTATATTTTTTTGGGTTAAAAATATGTCTACAAATGATTGTCGAAATTTACATATTCGCGTTATTTTAGATATTTCTGTTTGCTGCGCACTCGCCCTAAGCCACATTTACACTAGGCACGATTACGACACGACAACGACACGATACAACAGATGCGCGCAGTGTTGAAGAATACAAACTACGCGATGATATGTCGTTACCGTGTCGTTATCGTCTAGCATAAATCTAGCTTTATGGTTCTCCATTTCAATCTCGAAAAGGAATAATGTGTGGATTAGGAGAGACTCATAGCCTGGTGGTTAAGATGCTTGCCTTCCCACCCCATGGTTCCCAGGGCCATGGGCTGAAATCAGAACACCGCGATTTATCGTGGTGGCTAAAACATCTCCACTCTGTAGGCGCCCTAAAGCGACTTGGATTATAGATAGCATCGCTCCATCATGTAATTAGCGAATACACTGCTGTTCAATGAATGTGAATTAAAACTAAAAGATATTTTATATATTGTAAGCTCAACTGGGGAAAAACTATTATTAACTATTATTGTTTTATAAGGCGTTGTGGGGGCGAGAGATATCCAGTATATATATACTGCTTTCCCATCAATTCAAATTTATTACCACATTTTAATTGGATAGGTGGCAGTTCATCCAGTTTTATGTGCATTAACAACCACACACAAGTGTATATAAATTCAAAATAGATATAGACCTATCCTTATATGGTTTTGTACGGTAATTTTATAGTAGGCCTGCAGTTAGCCGCGAGTTATAACTTCGCCGTGGAGATCGTTAAGTAGAACTTCTCTGAAAACACCTGAAAATGACTTGGTTTCCCGCCGGTCTTACTATGTTACCATTATTGTTTACTTATAATGTGGTCTAAATATGGACATAATCTTGCAAATTTTGATCGTTTTTTAATTAATTACTTTCATTATCTGTTGTGCCACCAACGTCCTGTCCGGACATCGCTCTTAGGAGAAAATCGATCTCTGAGCATGCTCAATGTTCAAGAGAAAGGCTATAGTCTTTTTTTTATGTACGAAGGTCAGATGAATAAAGATGGGATTTCAGGTATTTCACTGAAAGTAAAGTGATACAACCATGGAGGTATAACTTACGTTAAACGATATCCAAGACACATGAACATGAGAAAATCTGATTTCTCAACATTCAGCCTCATTCTCCTCGTAAAATCACATGTTTGCCATTTTGCGTGGCCATTACTTATTTTGCCTATCAAAATATTCAGCCAATCGCAGATCGCTATATATATTATTATTAGGCTATTATTATCATTTAGAGTTTATATTACATTGTAGACCTACATTGAATCATATAGGATCTGTGAATCATCAAATCTGTTTCTTTGGTGTGAACCAATGAATTCACTGTTCAACAACCTGTCGTATTGTCGTATGTGCCGCCTGTACTTTCGTTAAGTGTATTTTTATGTACATAGGCCTATGGCTACGCGATGAACCACAGCCAATCACAAATGGGAGCGCTCAGTTTGTTTATATTTTCAATAGCCACAAATGAATGAGTGCTCAACATTCATGACGTCGTATTAACTCGCATGTACTTTTATTTCTGTCCTAAACATTACGTCACATATAACTTCATGGTTGAACATTTTCACGTGTAGCATGCATCATCATCGTGTGTACGCTGCGTCAACCTGATACAGTGCTTCTTGACGGTGCGTTTATCAGCGCATGATCACTTGTACGAGGACGATAAGTTGATAAAACGCGTCCAAGTTTCGTTTAGCATCATGAGAAATGAATTCACTTTGTCTGTCGTCCTGCTGTCCTGTGATTTGGCAGCATCCTGTAATTTATGATATATCGCAGTACGTTTGGCAACGTATCACATTTAATATGAAATATTATAAATGAAATAAGTTTTTTTACAAAGCAAACCACGTGGACATTGAACTAAAATTGACTTTGCGGTGCAGTGGATGGATGCAAGTAACGTGCAACAACCACCTGTTCGGCAAAAAAGTCAAGTGATGTTTTGGCCTATATTTGGCGAATACGAACAGTTACACTAATTATTGAATCATTCTATTATAATAATATACCTTTATAATCATTGTTTTATTGTTATCGTTTCTTTTCTTATTTTGTATTATTTTCGTTTTTAATATTGTAAAATTTTACCATCATTATAATATATTCATCACTAATAAAGTTGCTATGATTATCCTGATTATCATTATTATATTATTATTATTATTATTATTATTATTATTATATATATATATATATTAATTATTTATTTCGTTGCATTTGGCCTAACTAGGTGTTTTATTTGCGCTTTAGCTCGCGCGATTTCAAAGGCCAGGATCTTTCTCTATTTTTTATTTTGAAGAGGTGGGTGGGTGGCGGGTTTGGTGAAATTGAAATAGGGTGATTTACAGAAAAAAACTGTGTTGTGTGATATATACGATGATGATGATAATAATAATAATAATAATAATAATAATAATAATAATAATAATAATAATAATAATAATAATAATAATAAATAATAATAATAATAAAATATCGAATACCAAAGAATGTTTATTTTTATTGCTATTATTTATTTCGTTACATTTGGCCTAACTAGATATTTTATTTGCGATTTAGTTGGCGCAATTTCAAATAGGCCAGGATTTCAGGAAGGGGAGGAGGTGTGTGGTGAAATTGAAATACACTTTTTTTTATAAGAACCAGTAAAATTTTGCCCAGGCTCAGTGTTCTTTTTTTTTGACCAATTTCAGGCTCTAAATGTTCTTATTTCGTTCTTATTTTACACACTTTTCAAACATAGAAAATTATTATTGTACAGCAGTATACACTGTACTGGGAGGTGAAAGCGGCCCTGCAAAAAATGGCCCCTGGATGAAAGGCCCAGCAAAAAATGGCCCCACAAAAAGTGGCCCCAAATGGGAGGTAGGTACACCTACTGCACTGTATTATAGAGGGTATTGCATAGTCACACCTAATGCACATAAGGTACAGATATAATTTTTTTTTGGTTTTTCTAGTTTGACATTCTACCTCAGCCTCAATTTGTTCTTATTTTGTTCTTAATTTTTAAGCAATGTCAGCCTCAATGTTCTTATAAAATGTGTTCTTATAAAAAAAAAAGTGTAGGTTGATTTACAGAAAAAAAAAATGTGTTTTGTGATAGACGCAATGTAATTACATCTACATGAGATTGGCCTAAAGTCAGATAAGACGTGTCTTAAAACAAAAATGAATTTTCGCTTTGGTTAATAGAAATATAGAAACAAATTGAAATTCATTGCATAAGCCTAAGTCTGAACGAATGACTGCCGAAGAGGCCTGTATAACCAACCAAGCGGAACGGCGATTAGGCTTAACACTATGCGTGAACTGTTGCTAGTTCACTTAGAACATTACACTGACGAGGAAAGTATCTGTGCTCTGCTCTGAGCACCAACTGGCCTACTACTGTACTTAAGAGTAGGCAAAGATTGAAGTACTAGGAAATTGAATTTTTTGAGAAAAATCTACAACAATAGTATCATCTTCATGCATTTCTGCATCGTTAGATCGTGACTTGGAAAAAACCATCCTAGTGATTTTATTTTTAATGAGAAATTTGACTTGAAAACAGGAAGGCATTATGGAATTGCGAAGGACTTGCCACTGGAAAATACTACGGGAGGATAATATTTTTTGTCTTTGGCGGACAAATGCATATGTAGTGTTGGTAGTTGTTATATTGTTGTTAGTACAGATGACGGACTCAATTCGACCGACGGGTCCTTTTAGAGTAAGTATTTGTAGTCGTTTGGAATGATAAATGATGATATAGCATACAGTAATGCAGTCTTTCACTATAATATATAAACTGTCTTCTTATTTTGCACTCGTCCACGGTATTGTTCTGTGGGTTTTGGTTTAAGGTAAATATCAGGTCTGTGTACTATGGATTTTATTTTTAGCTTTCCAAAACTGTTCTTTATGTTCTATTTTCGTGCACAGTCAATATTTTGGCTGTATTAATTATTGATAAATGTCGGTATTGTTAGCAGAATTAAGCGCATTGTTTAACAAAGACATGGCCCAAGCCTATGCTGTTCTCCACTCATTTCTTTTTGTTAAATGTAGTGAAATGGTGAAGGTTGGCGGACCGCCAAACTTTAAAAATACACGCTTTTCTAGTGTTAACGAATCGCCCGTGGAAACAGAGGGTGTTCTGGGTACGTATACATATCAATCGCACAACGCGCGAATCCAGGAAGAACTCAACGATATACCATAATACAATCTTTTTAAGTGTGTCCATGTTAAGTCGTATGCGCATTTTTAAAAATTATTATAATGTGGTGGCCGAGAAATGCCTGTGTACTTCCTTTAAATTGATTTATTGTAAGCATAATGATAGTAAATACAGTACGATTCATGTATAAGAAATATTTAATTTGCCAAACTGCTCCTTTCTACAATGAAAAATCTTTACTGCTTCAATAACGTTTATAGCGCATTGTGATAGCGTGCAGCTAGAGCAGACGATAAAGTGACTTGTAAAACGTTAGCATTTTATGATTAATCAGAAACACATGCTAGCCGTTCATTATATGAATTCATTTCACTCCATGGTATTTGAAACGAAATTCTTCCTGTATAGTCAGTCTACAACGATGTTAGCTTAAATTTATATGGTCCATACTCACGATAGAATAGTATTTCGACATTAATGAAAAGTTTATTATATTAAATTAAATTATTATCGGATAAATTTAAAAAATATGAAAATATCTCGGTTTTAAAAATTAAACACTTAATAAGATTAATATTTTACCCTAGTATAATAATATCCTGTGACCTCCAAAAAAAAAAATACTTGAGAAAATCATTTTATCTTAGTAATATTATTCTGTGACCTCTAAATTATCGGCAGACGCCGATCCCTTAGATCATTATAATTCAGACAGGCTCCAAATTATACAGTTAGTCTGCTTCTAGTAATGGTAACAAGTGCAAGTTTGCATCTCCGCCTTCACCTGCATGGACAGGCTTTGGCAATTTTAGGTCTATATGTAGTCTGGGATTTTATTACTGTTTCACCATGAGCGGTAAAATGTCCATAAAATATGTGCATAAGAACTAAGACTATGTACTGGTAGTTATGTTTTGCAATCATGGGACTGTAACTAGTTAATGGGTTAAACAACAAACGTAATAATGTTGTATAACTACGCCATACCCAGGCCTACACGTCAAGTCGATTATAGTGTGGTTATTCATGATCGGTATTACATAGAATTCTAACGGTTAATATTAGGCCAAAAAATCCTTGTTTCCCGTCCTGGGTTTTTCAAAAGGTTGGTGAGGAAGGCACTTACGGTATTATATAATATTTGTTATTTTTCACAGTTCGTCAAAATATGCCAAAGAATGTTCTCTGCGTAGCAAAATGTGTGTTGTAAACAGTGCTTTGTCAATTGCTTCTCTTGCTGTTATCACGGTATTTGTGTTTAAAATAATTGCATTTGTAAACTATAAAATGTGTCAGCAATTAAAATTTTGCATTTTCGATGCAAAAAAAACCCCAAAATTTTAAATATAACAAAAAAAAAAATAAATTGATGCTTGCCAAAAAGTTGGTGAGGGAGGTGACGGGAAACAAGGAATTTTTGTTTTTTGGGCTTATTGTATTGAAGCCTTTCGGAGTATTACAATTCTAACGGTTAACATATTATTATAGTGATGCTTGATAATCTGTGCTTATTGTGTGGCATGGTAGAAACGTACCACTGAAGCCTTTCCTGCCAAAACAATTATTTTTTTCGCTTGTGTACGATAAACCTAAGAGGCTCTAGTTGATTGTAATCTGTTACTCTATATAAAACCGACTTGTGGAAGTCAGAGGATTTGAATGAACGTTAGGATAACTAACAGTGTGCCTGACAATACTCTTAGCTGACAATTGAAAGTGTACTAAATCCAATGCGATTAAAATCAAAGTATTAAGTTAGCCCACTAGGCTACTAGTTGATTTTTGGTTTCGGCTTGCCCCAAGCTTTAGATCGCTATCTTTCTAGAATATCGTGTATCGTACCAACTTGAAAGGGCGCAATGCTCACTTGACCTTAAGTACGTCTGTAGAGGACTTTAAGCTGCTGTCATATACGGCCTTAACATTGAGTAAACTTTGTTCTTGAAAATCGTTACTGTGTCTAACATGTATATGACAATAGACGGTGACTACTCCTAAACATGGCCTTGGTCTCGTTTTAACAAAACATTTAATTGGTGGAATTGACATTTTGGGATTTGATTATATCGATACTGTTTGTATAGTCAGTTTACCTTACAAAGTAGGTAATGGTGTTACGAAACCACATGATAAAATGTTACATGACAACGAAAGCACCCTAGAAGAATGATACATACTATAATATGTCGACGATTTAATCACCATTTGCGTGAGCCAGGCTGAGAATAGAGGAAGATAAATCTTGACAGATAGTAAAAAGGTCGTTAGTTTCCATAGGCTGATAACAGTATATTTTTACTTGGATATGGGTATGACAGCAAAGCGTTATGTTATGTAGATAGATATAGATCGCATGTATATAGGCCTCACGTACATACCTCTGCAACGTATCACTACCTGCCCAATCGCTCAATGTTCATGAAATGTGAAACAGAATTAATTGTAAGGAGTCAGAAAATCCGAAACGAATTTGACGAGAGGTCTATTTTCAATTAAGAATTAGATCGCATTCATTAAACATGTTTTATGTAACACTTAGTATTTATCTTCCGCAGCGTATCAAAAGTGTTTCGTATTCGGTTCTAAACTAAACAAAATATTTGTGTATACCTTCGAAATTTACTTAAATCAAACAATATGAAATGTTTCTTGTATGTTTAAATTTAAATCACTGATAAAGGTTGTGTTCTTGATCATAAAGTTACGCCGTGGCTACTGTATTATACTACAATAGAGGGCGCTATAGTACACATAAAGGAGCCAATATTGTATTTCATAGCTTCATGAATATTACAGTTATTATTTTTTTAATGCAATATTTTTTACCAAAGAATCGGACACCGAAGTAGTTAATTTCAAGTATGTATCTTGTTAAGGTCGTGTCGGCCGAGTAGAAAAAGTGCATTAAACTTTGCCGGTACAATATTATAATAACCAATTTCAACATACGGCAGTGTAAACGTTCCTTTAAAACGTGATATATTGGTTGTTAACCACGTGTTATTCTACTTGCATATCGAGTGTCTGCGTTCCATGCCGTGGAACATTTAATACTCATGCGTGTATCTTCACTCAGACACTAATGACAGTCACATTCAAGATGATAAACTCGAATAGGCCTGAAGAAAAGCAGGCCTAAAGGGCATAGGCCTGCTGTAAAAAGTGATTATTGTTTCAAGTCAATAACACAATAGGCTCAATTTATTGTATAATAATAATAATAATAATAATAATAATAATTGTCGTTATTATTATCATCATCATTCTTTTTGTCATTATTAATTCTATTATTGTTATTACTATTACTGATATTCATAATGTTACGAATCAACAGACGTTTACTATATATAACTTTAACATAACATTTATTGACAAAAAGTATCGACGTTTCGGGTCCATCATGGACGCATTTTCAAGATCCAATGTGAACAATAAAACATATGATAGAAAACCAAATGTGGGTGACTGTTTAATCCAACTTATTGGTATTAAAATATTATGTTAATAAAATAACATTATTATTTTATTATTATAAAATGATTCGTTGGTATTGGTCTTAACCTACTTAAAATACACGCAATGAAATTATGCATTTTTGCGTTTCACATTAACGTTCATGCATCGCTGCAAAAAAAATCGGCTGAGAGACATAATTGATGAGCAGAGCATGTCTATGTATCTACCTAATTTTAATGAGTCCACGTTATCAAGAAGTGACAGTGGAAAGTGGATGGATGTTTACCGAAAGTGCTTTAACAAACGAATATATTACAATGCATACATAGTCTTCCTGATCTGCTTAACAATTAAATTGCATTTTCCCATCTTGTTCGTGCAGGATTTTGAGTCAACATTGGCGTAACACGAGGAAATGCCATTAGTCCTACACTATACTGCCTGAAAAAATGGCAACGACCTCCGCAATCAAAGACCATCGTCTGATAACGAGCAAAATCTTGAAACAGTTATTTTACGAGCTTTGGTTGAAATACATATTTTATGTATTACAGCTAGATCGACTTAAACGGGCGTTGCAGTAATATGCTAGCAGAATGTGCAGTATTAACGATTCGGCTACAGACAAAGCGGTAAATTACATACAGACAGATATACATTACGATGTGCGAAAGATATTTATGAACACGCGGTATCTTCTTATATATTCTAGTAATTACCATATACATTAGATTAATTACCAATATTTTTGGGAGCTTTACACTACTCTGAGTGTAGAGCTCTGTAGGTCTGGCCTGGTTGTTGTTATCGTGGGTCGGTAGACCTATGTGGTTTTAATCGTAATGTTCAGTCATTTGTTTGGATCAGTATCGGTTAGTGATAATTTCCTTTATGTGGGATAATTGAAGGTCAACACTGTTCGTATTCCATTTTCCCTTGTCCATGTTTTCAACGAAATAAAATATCGAAGGGGTCAGGAGAGAGTTCAATGCTAACGAATCGAGTTGGTCTTTGTTAAGCTACACGAACTCTGACTTTGAATAATATATTGTGCAGTACTGTATATTAACTCAAGGAAAATAATGATATAGGAG